ACCAAAGAACTTGTATGCATATATGCATAACCCATGGACACAGACAATAGGGTGGTGAAGGCCTGGGTTGGGGGGTGGGAGCAGGCTAGAAGGGGCCAATGGGGGAGAAAAGGAGGACATATGTAATTCTTTCAACAATAAAGATTCAATTAAAAATAAAAACAATATAACGTCCCTGGCTGGTGTTGCTCAGTGGTTAGAGTGTCAGCCTGAGCACCAAAGGGTCACTGCAGGTTCAATCCTGCCTCAGTCAGGGAGCCTTCAGGAGGCTACTAATTGATGTCTCTTGCTCTCTGTCTCTCTTTCTCTCTCTCTCTCTCCCTCTCCCTCTCCCCCTTTTCTTCCACTCTCTCTAAAAATCAACGGAAAAAAATATCCTTGGGTTATCGATTAACAACAACAACAACAAAAAAGCAATATAACAAATGTGGGTGAGGACGTGGAGAAAAGAGAACACTTGCGCATTGGTGGGAATGAAAATTGGTAAAACCACTATGGAAACAGTAGGCAGGTTCTTCAAAAAATTTAAAATAGAAGTACTACATGATACAGCAATTCTACTTCTGGCTATTTATTTAAAGAAAATGAAAACACTAATTTGAAAGTATATATGCACCCCATGTTCATTATAGCATTATTTACAATAGCCAAGATATGAAAATAACCTAAGCATTCACCAACAGATGAATGGCTAAAGAAAATGTGGCCTATCTATCTATCTATCTATGCCACATTATATATATATACACACACACACACACATATACACATATATACATACACACATATATACACATATATAAAGTATATATAACTATTTATATCATATTAATAGAATATTATTCAGCTATATAAAAGAATGAAATTTTGCTACATGTGACAATATGGATGAGCCTTGGAGACATTATGCTAAGAGAATTCAGACAGGAAAAGACTAATACCATATGATTTCACCTATATGTTCAATTTAAAAAATAAAACTAACAATAGAATTGAGCTCATATACTAGTATACAGAGAACAGATTGGTAGTTGTCAGAGGTAGGGGGTGGTGGTGGATAAAATGGATGAAAGGGGTGTAAACCAAAATTAAATTTAGATTGTAATAAAGAATACTTGAGTGAAAGGAGCTGTAGCTCCGGAGACACAGAGTCAGGTAACAACCTAAACTGTGCTCCAGTAAGAACAAACAAAGGCAGGGTTTATAAAAGTAGAACCCAGAAAATGTAATTCTTTCATGCAAATAAAGTATTGTAGGCTAGGTTAACAGGGATTGGTTAGTTCCAATATGTAAACGAGGGAGGTGAAACAACACTGTTAAAGAAGGTAATATGTTCTCATCTATTATAACAACTGTTTCTCAGGTCATAATATGAACAATATTTTTTCTATTTGTTTTGAAATAACTTAAGCATCAGCTACATTACTCTAAAACTTCTTTATTACATTTAATTGAACATTATCAATTACATTTATGAGAAGTAACAAAGAAATGGTAAGCTGTTTTTGACTAAAATATCTCAATTCTAATTTTAAAACCTAATCAGAAAGACTATAATTAGTATAATAATAATTAGTATATTAGATAAATAGTATAATAATCCATTAAGTACACATCATCATTAGGCTATCTCTGTTATGAAGACATTTGTCAATGCTAATAAAAGCTATTCAGCTGACAAAGGAAAACAAATTATCTTAAAAATAACTGCATTTTATCATTGCAATAGTGTAAATATTTTAAAATCGTGTAAATATTTTAAAAGCTGTAGACAAAGAATTTGGAGGTAAAGTGATCAAAATTACTACCTGAAACTATTTTAATAGGTTTTAAATACTAAATAAAAATCCTGAGAAATGACTCCAGAGATAAGATTGTAAAGATTTCCTCCTGAAGCTGTTTGACAACCTCAAAGTGCCAAATAAAGATGCTCCAATACGGTCTAATGCAGGGGTCCTCAAACTTTTTAAACAGGGGGCCAGTTCACTGTCCCTCAGACCGTTGGAGGGCCGGACTATAGTTTTAAAAAAACTATGAACAAATTCCTATGCACGCTGCACATATCTTACTTTGAAGTAAAAAAATGAAACGGGAACAAATACAATATTTGTATTTGCATGTGGCCCACGGGCCATAGTTTGAGGACCCTTGGTCTAATGGGAAAAGGCTTAGAATGAGAACCAGGTTTAACTTGTATTCCATCTTCGTGGTCTCCAGTTTTCTCATTTGTTCATTTAACAAAGACACATTCCAGACCTTATTCTGTGTAGTATAGTGGGTTTAAAAATGTGCTACATAAATTTCCCAACTCAACATGAGAGAGTGGCCATTTCATGTTCCATTGCCGGCATGGACACCAATATTATGTTGTGACCAGGTTTGCTGTTTAAAAGTCCTCGTTGTCATAGCTCAAGAATGGACTAACTCTGTCTGAATAACTGATTCTAGACCCCAGTCCGGATGCACACACATCCCAGGTCTCTGCTCGGTCTGTCCTGGAAGGAGCTGACTCCTGAGGAAAAGCCACAGTGGGTCTGATGGCCCTGCAGTCTCCTGGAATTTTCAAGGGAAGTGACATTGATGGAGAGGCTGCCCTGGTGACTGTAGCTGGAAGGTCCAAGGCTTCTGGATAGATGGGCATCAGGGTGTTTTCAGAAGTATAGTTACAGCCCAAAAGGCTCCTGGCTTCCCGCACCTTGTCGCAGTATTTCAGAGCTGGCGGCTGGTAAGCCTGGTAGGACACTTTGGTGGTGGTAGTGATCACCGTCTGTAGGGCTGGGGCACCTGGTGGGGGGGTGGTGAGGTACCTACCGGGAAGCTCTGCGTTATAAGAGGGGCGAGTGGCCATGGCCTGGAACTGTCCAGGGTCAGTCCTCTCCCCAAGGCCAGGTTTTCCAAGAGCTTGTTTCCAGCCATGTTGTTTACTGGTGAAATCACAGCTGCTCTGGAAGCTGCTGTATGACTTGACGTTATACTGTAGTGCATTCAGGTGGATCCAGTCTGTGTCATTAGCGTTGCTGCTAGAATCTTTATACAGGGTGGAATATGCGCTCGAATTTATATAACCGGGACCTGCCAATTCATAGCTGCAAGGAGACCTAGGCAAATAGATTCTTGGGTTTGGATATTTCTGAAAGGGTGGCATTATGTCTCCTTGAAAGGTCACTAAGTCACAGGTAGCCTTATAAGCATCAGAGTTTTGGAAGGAAAAGCAAGACTGTCCTAGAATAGGAAAGCCAGTGTCAGCAGTTATATCAAATTCTTCTGGATTTTCCAGGGGAGGTATGTTGTTGAAATGTCCACTGTTGTCTTGATCCTCTCCTGCCTAAAAAGATACACATTTTTGTTTGTAAATAAAATGCAACTCTCACCTGTAATAGTAGCCCAGCAACCAACCAAAAATCAACTTCCACCCAGACCATGTCTGTAATAGTAGCCCAGCAACCAACCAAAAATCAACTTTCACCCAGCCCGTGCGCTCAGTGGTGGAGCATCGACCTATGAACCAGGAGGTCATGGTTTGATTCCCAATCAGGGCACATGCCTGGGTTGTGGGCTCAATCCCCAGTAAGGGGGCATGCAGAAGGCAGCCAATCAATGATTCTCTCTCATCATTGATGTTTCTATCGCTCTCCTTCTCCCTTGCTCTCTAAAATCAATAAAAAATATACATATTTAAAAAAACTTCCAATTGGTGGGTTCTGTGTTGTGAACACCACACAGCTCAGGACATGAATTGGGCTTCTGGTCCAAGGGTTGCATAGCTGGAGCTTGCTTGGGTGTGAATACCACATGGCTGCATGGGGTCCACAGTAGCCAGGCAAGAGTGGGTCTGGGTGGCAGATGGTCCTGTTCTCCCCTACACTATGTTTGTAAGAGCGGAGATTCTAGAGCCTGGCACAGATCAGGGTTCAAATCCTGACTCTGTTCCTCATTATTGCACAAGTTACTTAATCTCTGTGAGTCTCAGATTCCTAATTTTAAAAATGGGGCTCAATAATAGTAGCCCCCTCTTCAGGCTTTTGTGAATGTCTCATGTGTGAAACTTTAGACCTTATGTGCCTAGCACATAGAAAGAGCTCAAACAATGCCTGTTTCTCTTATCCTCAGACTAACAGTCTGCCCGCTTGGCATGCTTTGGTTGAAAAGCCAAACTGGATCTAGTTGGCCAAACAAATGCTATCTGTTCTATGTAAATAATGTAAAGGGCTCTCTCAAGGATGCATGTGAACTCACTGTTGGTATGCACATATATCTTTCTTTAGTACCATCGTATAACTGCCCTTGTATCAGCAAGTCAGCATACTCACTGTATTACTGACTGTGTAGATAGTTGACTTTTTTTTTTTTTTAAAGAGAAGAGATGAAATTGGAAACACTATCCAAAATGTTAATTCAATGACATTTTGTTGGAGATACACAATTTTCACAGATAATCAAACCTTTTAAATTATTGTCTGACCTTAACATTTTACATAATTACCAGTATACGTTGTGATGAAAATAAACACAGACCACAATGTAACGTCAGCTCCCCATTACCTCCAGTTCTCGAATTCTCTTTTCCCGGGGTTGATAAAAACAGGCCATTTGTCTCTTGATGGCACTTCTTCTAGCTTCTGTCTCTGATTTGCTCTCTGGTCTTGGGTGATCATGAACCCCCTTGGCCTGCATTAATAGGGAAGGAAACTGGCAATGTTAGTAAAAATTATGTCTTTCCCAAGATCCCAAGTTGATGTCTGTTTTTTTCAAACTGACAGGAAAAAAATTCTTGAGCTAATAAAACAGCATCAATAATAGACATCTGCCAGCTGGCATGGCTTAGTGGTTGAGTGTCAACCTATGAACCAGGAGGTCAGTTTCGATTCCTGGTCAGGGCACATGTCTGGGTTGTGGAATCAGTTCCCAGTAGGGGGCGTGCAGGAGGCAACCAGTCAATGATTCTCTCCCATCATTGATGTTTCTCTCTCTCTCCCTCTCCCTTCCTCTCTGAAATCAATAAAAATGTATTAAGAAAATAAGAATAGACATTTTAAAAGATTACCAACAGTCTCTCTGAAATCAATAAAAATGTATTTTAAAAAATAATAGACATTTTAAAAGATTACCAACAGTTCTTTCACCATATTAAATCAACTCTAACTGCAACATGCTCACTATCTCTTGCCCTTGCAGAGCAGACAGTAGGAAGGAGCACACTAATTACTCAAGGAGCCTGAAAGGCCCTGGGAGACCCAGCACCTACTTCTGGCCATGGAGCTGTATTTGGTTTGGTCCAGAGTTCCTAAGGCACATGGCAGGTGGTTTGGTCTCTACTATACAATGAAAATATGCATCAGAAACGGTGTCCCCCCAACCACCTGGAAAAATATGGCGTTGCCATCAAGCCTCCAGAAGTTGGTTACTGGGTATCCGCTGTGCCCTCGACAGGGAACCAATTCCAAAGCGGAATGACAGTTGGGGCATGTTTTCTCTGCAAAGCCAGATGGGGAGAATGTTAATAACAGCTCGACTCCAGACCCTTTCAAAAGAACAAAAGGGAAATTATTGGGTGGAGGGAACTCAGGACTGCAAGGCCGCCCCCACCCCAGGCCTCGGGGCCTCACTCTGCTGCTTCAGCCGCGCCTTGTCGCAGATGGCAGGCCTCAGCTGCAGGCGGGAGCCATCGGGCAGGGCGCAGGCCTGCGTACACACCACCACGCCCAGGCAGGACTTCTTGAGGATGTGGCCGTTGTGGTTGTTGGTGTTGCGCATGGCCCAGCCGCTCAGGTGGCGCTGCGCCTTCTTCTCATCGCTGCGGTAGATGAAGCGCACGAAGCCATCAGGCCACTCGCAGAAGTGGTCGAAGTGGGCTGGCTCCTGGAGAGGCGCACGAAAGGAAGGGCGGTCAAGTCTACCAAGACCAAACCCAACACATTGCGCTTTTAATTTTCTCCAAGCATATCAGAATAAAAATTGGTGCCTTTTAGATCCGGAAATGTTGTAAAACTCGGAAACGATGTCATCACCAATGCTACTCATCCTGTCTGTAATAGCTTACTGACAATGGGCTAATTGATGTTAATATTGTGCTTATCTTCTCAATGCTGTACATGTATTATTCATCTACACTTCATAACACACAGGCAATAGATAATATTATTCTCCCAGTGTTACCTAATAATAATTGGGGGCCAGAGAGGTTAACTGACTTGCCCAAAGTCACCCAGCTAGTAAGTCCTGGCTCTAGGTCTAGGATTTGAGCCCTAGCAGTTTGACTCCAGAGCCTTTTCTCCTTATCACCATGTTATACCACTTCTTGTATATTTAAATGTTGGAAACATGTCCAGATTAAGTATTAAAGAACCAGGGCAAAAAGTGATTGGGATGGTCTCTTACTGGCCTGCAATTGAGACTGTAAATAGCTTTACTTCAATTCAGCACTTTTGGCTCTATTCCAAACCTGTCAGTCACATTAGCAGTGACACTCAGAGCAACATCAGAGAGGCAGGAACAACTTCCGACGTTCCTCCTAGTTTAGCTCTCCAAGTTTTCAAGGATGTTGTGATGGAAGGCCTGACCATCAAGGTAAACCCTGGCACTGGGAAGAAGCCTGCTAAGAACTGGACCTCTCCCCAGAGCAACCGGGAATGTCATTCTCAACAAAGAGCCACATGGCTGCAATAATGTTATATCATATTATGCATTATTAAACCGCAATGTCTTTCTTATATATCAGTTTAATATAAAATTACCCTTCAATGAGCACTTACTGACCCCTGCCCTAAAGGCACCTGGTACAGACAGAGGTCAGTAGACAAGGGATGGTGGGCCAAGTCTAGCCTGCCACAGGTTTTAGCACGGTCTACACGCTAAGGATGGTTTTTATATTTTTTAATGATTGGGGGAAATTTTTATTTTTTTTATTTTATCAATTTTTTAAAAATATATTTTATTGATTTTTTACAGACAGGAAGGGAGAGGGATAGAGAGTTAGAAACATCGATCAGCTGCCTCCTGCACGCCCCCTACTGGGGATGTGCCCACAACCAAGGTACATGCCCTTGACCAGAATCGAACCCAGGACCTTTCAGTCCACAGGCCAACGCTCTATCCACTGAGCCATACCGGTTAGGGCGGTTGGGGGAAATTTTTAAAAATTTATATTATTTGATACATGAAAATTATATGAAAATCAAATTTCAGTATCCATAAGTAAAGTTGTATTGGGTATGTCCATGTCCATGAGTCTATGTATTGTCTATGGCTATTTTCACACTACGATGCAGAATTGAGTATTTAGGATAAGACAGTATGGACCACAAAGCCACATTAATGCAGTATCTATAATCCTCACAGCAATGTTGCATGAGGTGCATGGTTACTCTTATGTATTAGATAAGGATGTGGAAGTGAGAGAGAGAACCTTCTACAGTGGCATAGCTGGGATTTAAACAGAAGACTGAGTTGCCAGACCCCACTGGCTTTACTGGTATGACAGAGGCTCAGAAGAGTATTACCACAGTAATAAGACATTTGCAACATCTCTCCCTCCCACTACCCCAGAGAATTAGATCCAACATTTGCAGAGCAAAAGTATTCTCAGTTGGACAATTCAGACTTGCGCACATTGTTAGTTTTGTACATTCTAACAGTAATAAGTAAATAGGCAATTTTGTTTCCAAAGCCACAGAGATATTGTTGAAATCATTATTATTACTAATAGGCATTCTTATCTTTTCTAGAAATATTATAATTGAAATAAATTAATAGATTGACTTAAGGTCAGTGACAGATGAAATATAAAATGATGTGCTATCAACTCTAAGTTCATACTAAATGCTAATATCTTGTTAAGGTGAACATTTCAATTTAAGGACCTTAATAACAAATTGAAAGTTTTCCAGAACAGGCTATTTTTTTAGTACTGCCCTGTATACAGACTAGACTCCCATGTCTCACACCAGCTACTAAAGTAGTGACACTGAAAATGAAGCTACAGAGATGGTATTTTTAAGTCAAAACAAGAAAGAAGGACTCCAGGATTGGGTTTCATTTGCTCTAATGTGTTGGCACGTGCGAGTGCATGCACTCAGACACAGACAAACATGCACACGCTGAACACCACAGCCGACCTGGCCAAGAGCTTAAGATTGTTATCTATTTTGCCCCGTGATGACAGGTGAGCAGCCTGAGACTAAGGCAAATTCAATAACTACCTCAAGGTCATATAGCCAGTTTAGCTCTTGCTCCTTCAATTAGCCAAAACAGGGCTAGAAGCCTACATTGTCCCAGTTCTCTTTATATAGCCCAGTGCACCTGTCCCCTTGGAGATGTCACACACACTCCCCTGCTTAAGGTCCAGTCTCCAAAGGAAAAATTACTCACATTTATGGAAGTCTAGAAAATGCTTGTGAGGGGAGCCATATTTTCATTATTTGGCTGTGGCTCTAAAATGCAAGATTAGCTTTTTTCCTATGAAAATTTATGTGGCTTGAAGTCAGCGAGAATGAGATGCCCTTGCTGTCCTGTGGTCTACTCTCACAAAAATGATACAGTGTGATGGTAGAGTAGGCAGACTTTAAAGCAAATAACAAGAACAAACTTTCTACAAAAAACACATCCAAAAATTGCTGATCTCTTTGAGAGGCTACACAACTTTGCCAATGAATTGCTATCCATCTGAACAACTATATGGCACATGTTAGATGCTTAGTAAAAACCAAGTCTCTCATTCCCATGCCACAACAGTGTGGGAAGTCCACTTTTGCAAATGCTTGGGAGGCCACTCCCACTCTCCCTCCACCTACACCCAGGACTTTAAAGTCACTCCTCAGTTTTTGCCCCAAACCAGTATGACAAAGCATAAACTCCCTGGACTTGGCTCCAAACCACTTTGTTTCATTAAAACAAAATAAAACAAATCCACCCTAAAAGGACAGAGATTTTCTTGTCATTAAAGTAAACCCAGAAGTTATGTCCAAACTCTTGATTCCAGATGCCCTGTGGGCACCCAGGGCCTGGTTAGCATGACTGGAGTTTCCTAGGAGCCATGCTTCATCCCGACAGCACCCCCAGGAATCTGAATAAATTGCCTAAGGCATGCTATTTGTTCACCATTCCCCTCACAGGGATTGCAGTCCTGTCTCACATGTTTGGTGCATGTGAAGCAGTGCTATGAGATTCTCCCCTACCTTTCTCATGGATTTCAAAGAATGGAAAAGGAGAGAATCACTTGATTTCTACCTTGGTTAAAGGAAAGTGAGGAGCAAGGCATCCCACCCCCGCCCCCAAGAGGACTGGAAAGGTGGAGCCTCATGGACAGTTTCCACTGCTTTCAATGTTCTTGGACAGGCCATAAGAAAGAGCTAGGCAAAGATACATTTAGAAACCCAACTCTGCCCTTTGTAGAGTCCATCTACATTTGAGGACTCTCATGTGTTTGTTGGCATGTGTGTTTGTGTATGCTCTGTCCACAGTCTCTGCAAGGACTTGTGGTGAGCTGGCAGGGCCAAGGCATACTCAGCCCCACTTTGGGAGCCTTATGTGCCCAGCCAGCTCAGCCAGGTTCGGTGAGCCTGAGAGGGGGCGGTGAAGGATTGAGAAAAGACAGACAAGATAAGGAAAGCTGGGTCTGGGTGGGACGCTGTCCTCTCTGATGGAGAGCTAGTGACAGCGGCCGAGAGCCAAGTCTTTATTTTATAGCCAGATTCCACGAGGTAAAGTAAGGACGTGGTCAAGATGTTTACACTGTTCTAATCTACTCAATTACATGCACCTGAACTCTATCAAGCCCACTTTACTCAGACACATGGCCACGTGTTCAGACCATAGGTTCAAGCTTACAACTACAGCTGTTGGCTATAATTGTGCTGGGAAGGCTCTGCCCTCCAAGCTGGGACTTGCACGTGGCAGTGAGAGGACTGTGCCCTCTCATTAGTCCAGTGGTTCTCAAGCTTGGCTGCACATTAGAGTCACCTGGGAATCTTTTTAAAATCCTGATTTCTGGGCCTCATCCTCCGGAAATTCTGTTTCTTTGTTATTTCATTAGTAACAAAGAAACAATTTCCAGAGGATGAGGCCCAGAAATCAGGATTTTAAAAAGATTCCCAGGTGACTCTAATGTGCAGCCAAGCTTGAGAACCACTGGACTAATGAGAGGGCACAGTCCTCTCACTGCCACGTGCAAGTCCCAGTTTTTTTTTTTTTACATAAAACATCAGTACATATTAGACATTTTAAAAACATTTCTTTACATTTTTTAAAATTTCAGCTTCATTGAGGTATAATTGGCATCTGCCTTTTAACAGAGGCCTTGAGTTAGGTGCCTAAACTCAAGGGAGCAGTTTTAATGGTGGATGCTCTGGTCAAGGCAGACCCGTGGGGCAGTACCCTGTGGGGGCAAAGGGGGGTGGGTGGGGTCTCCTTAACATGTTCTGCATAGGGACAGCCTTGGTCTCCTCCAGTGTGAAGGTTGAGCCCTTGTGATGTGCTGGGAGGTAGTGGCCCAGCTGAGCGGGAGCGTTTGAACGGACCACCAGCTTCCTCTCCAACGACAGCGAGCCCCACTCACTCTGCTGCTTCTGCCGGGCCTTGTCGCAGATCGCAGGCCTCAGGTAGATCTTGCGGCCCTCCTTGGCAGAGCAGTCGCGGCTACACACCACCACGCCCAGGCAGGACTTCTTGAGGATGTGGCCGTTGTGGTTGTTGGTGTTGCGCATGGCCCAGCCGCTCAGGTGGCGCTGCGCCTTCTTCTCATCGCTGCGGTAGATGAAGCGCACGAAGCCATCAGGCCACTCGCAGAAGTGGTCGAAGTGGGCTGGCTCCTGGAGAGGCGCACGAAAGGAAGGGCGGTCAAGTCTACCAAGACCAAACCCAACACATTGCGCTTTTAATTTTCTCCAAGCATATCAGAATAAAAATTGGTGCCTTTTAGATCCGGAAATGTTGTAAAACTCGGAAACGATGTCATCACCAATGCTACTCATCCTGTCTGTAATAGCTTACTGACAATGGGCTAATTGATGTTAATATAGTGCTTATCTTCTCAATGCTGTACATGTATTATTCATCTACACTTCATAACACACAGGCAATAGATAATATTATTCTCCCAGTGTTACCTAATAATAATTGGGGGCCAGAGAGGTTAACTGACTTGCCCAAAGTCACCCAGCTAGTAAGTCCTGGCTCTAGGTCTAGGATTTGAGCCCTAGCAGTTTGACTCCAGAGCCTTTTCTCCTTATCACCATGTTATACCACTTCTTGTATATTTAAATGTTGGAAACATGTCCAGATTAAGTATTAAAGAACCAGGGCAAAAAGTGATTGGGATGGTCTCTTACTGGCCTGCAATTGAGACTGTAAATAGCTTTACTTCAATTCAGCACTTTTGGCTCTATTCCAAACCTGTCAGTCACATTAGCAGTGACACTCAGAGCAACATCAGAGAGGCAGGAACAACTTCCGACGTTCCTCCTAGTTTAGCTCTCCAAGTTTTCAAGGATGTTGTGATGGAAGGCCTGACCATCAAGGTAAACCCTGGCACTGGGAAGAAGCCTGCTAAGAACTGGACCTCTCCCCAGAGCAACCGGGAATGTCATTCTCAACAAAGAGCCACATGGCTGCAATAATGTTATATCATATTATGCATTATTAAACCGCAATGTCTTTCTTATATATCAGTTTAATATAAAATTACCCTTCAATGAGCACTTACTGACCCCTGCCCTAAAGGCACCTGGTACAGACAGAGGTCAGTAGACAAGGGATGGTGGGCCAAGTCTAGCCTGCCACAGGTTTTAGCACGGTCTACACGCTAAGGATGGTTTTTATATTTTTTAATGATTGGGGGAAATTTTTATTTTTTTTATTTTATCAATTTTTTAAAAATATATTTTATTGATTTTTTACAGACAGGAAGGGAGAGGGATAGAGAGTTAGAAACATCGATCAGCTGCCTCCTGCACGCCCCCTACTGGGGATGTGCCCACAACCAAGGTACATGCCCTTGACCAGAATCGAACCCAGGACCTTTCAGTCCACAGGCCAACGCTCTATCCACTGAGCCATACCGGTTAGGGCGGTTGGGGGAAATTTTTAAAAATTTATATTATTTGATACATGAAAATTATATGAAAATCAAATTTCAGTATCCATAAGTAAAGTTGTATTGGGTATGTCCATGTCCATGAGTCTATGTATTGTCTATGGCTATTTTCACACTACGATGCAGAATTGAGTATTTAGGATAAGACAGTATGGACCACAAAGCCACATTAATGCAGTATCTATAATCCTCACAGCAATGTTGCATGAGGTGCATGGTTACTCTTATGTATTAGATAAGGATGTGGAAGTGAGAGAGAGAACCTTCTACAGTGGCATAGCTGGGATTTAAACAGAAGACTGAGTTGCCAGACCCCACTGGCTTTACTGGTATGACAGAGGCTCAGAAGAGTATTACCACAGTAATAAGACATTTGCAACATCTCTCCCTCCCACTACCCCAGAGAATTAGATCCAACATTTGCAGAGCAAAAGTATTCTCAGTTGGACAATTCAGACTTGCGCACATTGTTAGTTTTGTACATTCTAACAGTAATAAGTAAATAGGCAATTTTGTTTCCAAAGCCACAGAGATATTGTTGAAATCATTATTATTACTAATAGGCATTCTTATCTTTTCTAGAAATATTATAATTGAAATAAATTAATAGATTGACTTAAGGTCAGTGACAGATGAAATATAAAATGATGTGCTATCAACTCTAAGTTCATACTAAATGCTAATATCTTGTTAAGGTGAACATTTCAATTTAAGGACCTTAATAACAAATTGAAAGTTTTCCAGAACAGGCTATTTTTTTAGTACTGCCCTGTATACAGACTAGACTCCCATGTCTCACACCAGCTACTAAAGTAGTGACACTGAAAATGAAGCTACAGAGATGGTATTTTTAAGTCAAAACAAGAAAGAAGGACTCCAGGATTGGGTTTCATTTGCTCTAATGTGTTGGCACGTGCGAGTGCATGCACTCAGACACAGACAAACATGCACACGCTGAACACCACAGCCGACCTGGCCAAGAGCTTAAGATTGTTATCTATTTTGCCCCGTGATGACAGGTGAGCAGCCTGAGACTAAGGCAAATTCAATAACTACCTCAAGGTCATATAGCCAGTTTAGCTCTTGCTCCTTCAATTAGCCAAAACAGGGCTAGAAGCCTACATTGTCCCAGTTCTCTTTATATAGCCCAGTGCACCTGTCCCCTTGGAGATGTCACACACACTCCCCTGCTTAAGGTCCAGTCTCCAAAGGAAAAATTACTCACATTTATGGAAGTCTAGAAAATGCTTGTGAGGGGAGCCATATTTTCATTATTTGGCTGTGGCTCTAAAATGCAAGATTAGCTTTTTTCCTATGAAAATTTATGTGGCTTGAAGTCAGCGAGAATGAGATGCCCTTGCTGTCCTGTGGTCTACTCTCACAAAAATGATACAGTGTGATGGTAGAGTAGGCAGACTTTAAAGCAAATAACAAGAACAAACTTTCTACAAAAAACACATCCAAAAATTGCTGATCTCTTTGAGAGGCTACACAACTTTGCCAATGAATTGCTATCCATCTGAACAACTATATGGCACATGTTAGATGCTTAGTAAAAACCAAGTCTCTCATTCCCATGCCACAACAGTGTGGGAAGTCCACTTTTGCAAATGCTTGGGAGGCCACTCCCACTCTCCCTCCACCTACACCCAGGACTTTAAAGTCACTCCTCAGTTTTTGCCCCAAACCAGTATGACAAAGCATAAACTCCCTGGACTTGGCTCCAAACCACTTTGTTTCATTAAAACAAAATAAAACAAATCCACCCTAAAAGGACAGAGATTTTCTTGTCATTAAAGTAAACCCAGAAGTTATGTCCAAACTCTTGATTCCAGATGCCCTGTGGGCACCCAGGGCCTGGTTAGCATGACTGGAGTTTCCTAGGAGCCATGCTTCATCCCGACAGCACCCCCAGGAATCTGAATAAATTGCCTAAGGCATGCTATTTGTTCACCATTCCCCTCACAGGGATTGCAGTCCTGTCTCACATGTTTGGTGCATGTGAAGCAGTGCTATGAGATTCTCCCCTACCTTTCTCATGGATTTCAAAGAATGGAAAAGGAGAGAATCACTTGATTTCTACCTTGGTTAAAGGAAAGTGAGGAGCAAGGCATCCCACCCCCGCCCCCAAGAGGACTGGAAAGGTGGAGCCTCATGGACAGTTTCCACTGCTTTCAATGTTCTTGGACAGGCCATAAGAAAGAGCTAGGCAAAGATACATTTAGAAACCCAACTCTGCCCTTTGTAGAGTCCATCTACATTTGAGGACTCTCATGTGTTTGTTGGCATGTGTGTTTGTGTATGCTCTGTCCACAGTCTCTGCAAGGACTTGTGGTGAGCTGGCAGGGCCAAGGCATACTCAGCCCCACTTTGGGCGCCTTATGTGCCCAGCCAGCTCAGCCAGGTTCGGTGAGCCTGAGAGGGGGCGGTGAAGGATTGAGAAAAGACAGACAAGATAAGGAAAGCTGGGTCTGGGTGGGACGCTGTCCTCTCTGATGGAGAGCTAGTGACAGCGGCCGAGAGCCAAGTCTTTATTTTATAGCCAGATTCCACGAGGTAAAGTAAGGACGTGGTCAAGATGTTTACACTGTTCTAATCTACTCAATTACATGCACCTGAACTCTAAGCCGCCCACTTTACTCAGACACATGGCCACGTGTTCAGACCATAGATTCAAGCTTACAACTACAGCTGTTGGCTATAATTGTGGGAAGGCTCTTCTGCCCTCCAAGCTGGGACTTGCACGTGGCAGTGAGAGGACTGTGCCCTCTCATTAGTCCAGTGGTTCTCAAGCTTGGCTGCACATTAGAGTCACCTGGGAATCTTTTTAAAATCCTGATTTCTGGGCCTCATCCTCCGGAAATTCTGTTTCTTTGTTATTTCATTAGTAACAAAGAAACAATTTCCAGAGGATGAGGCCCAGAAATCAGGATTTTAAAAAGATTCCCAGGTGATTCTAATGTGCAGCCAAGGTTGAGAACCACTGCATTAGTCCGAGGCTTGAACCTGTGGAAACACTGTAGCCGCTCTCCACAAGGACTTGAATGCCACCCCCCTTCTTTGGATGGACAGCACTACCTGTGCGCTCACGCCGTGTCACATACCTGAGGCATCTGCGGGTCGTTGATGTCCCAACTGAGCTTCATCCCGTAGGAGCGCACACAGTCCGCCTTCTGCCCGGCTTCCGTTGGCATCTGCCCACCTTGCCGGCCGTGTCCCGCAAGGATCCTGAAAGATAGAAGAGGAAAACAAATCTAGAGGCGCGCCAGGTGAATTTTCCCCCTCAAAAAAAAAGAAAGAAAAGTGGAGATTGGGAGCGAGGGAGTGGGAAGGAGAGGGAGAGAGAAGGAAGGGGGGAGAGAGAGAGAGATTGGAAGTCCACGGGGGTTAAGGACCCGGGTGGAGCCCAGATCTGGGCCTCGGTCCTGAAGGCGCCAGGCAGCTCCGCCTTTACTCTCTCTTTCTCCAACTCTCAGGTCCCGCACCAGCAGGGCCGGTCACCCGCTCCCGGACAGAATAGGAACAGGAGGGGGAGGTTGACCTGAGCCCTTAGGTGACGGGAAACTGAAGCCAAGATGTTAAGGGGCGAGGGTGGAGGTGTGGAGGTTGGAATGCCTCATTTATATTGATTTTTTTTTTTTTTTGGTCTTTCTTTCTTTCTAACCCCGCCCGGCCCCTGGGGTTTCCGGAAGCTTTGGAGACAGTGGCTTTCGAGCCGCTACTCAATTCTCCTGCCGCTGGGGAACCATAGGTCGCTGCGCGCCGCAGGCTGAGTAACTGTGCCCATGCCGCAGGATCGGTCAGCCTTCTTTGGGTCCTTTTCCCGGGCTTTTGCTGTAGCTGCTGTTATACGTGTCCTGGACTGTGGACTGTGA